GAATTTAAACCATTATTTTACACCTTGAAAAAATATATTAGTTAATAAAGGCAGCATTGTTTGAGACAAAGTCAGTTCTGGCCATTGAATAGATGGTCAAAATCCATGTTGATAGCACCATAACGTGTGAGTCCTTTTATATACAACCAAGCAACCCTGATGCTTGCAGGGGGGGGGGGGGGGTGGGTCAAAACAAGACGAGAATTTGTTTTGACGCCTTGGGCTTTCTGGTGTTTTCGGGTGAGCTTGGTTGCTTAATATTGAGCTCAAATGCTGGAATTTACTTAGTTTAGCCTCATAAATATTTGAGCTAAAATTTAATCTTCATGATTGGGGTATTTATTTACTTCCTAGCTCATTAATTTTTCAGCTCTTGGTTGGTCATAATGAGCTGAAGATTAGCTCAATTTATTTAAGTTTAGTGAGCTCATTATGGTGTATCTTGCCCCTTTTCTTTCCCCAAGCTTCCTCTCGGTTTTCCCCTCCATGTCTCCCTTTGGTTCCACGAGGCTGGCTGATTGGTTCCGTGCCATTGGGCTTTGGTTCCATGGCTGGCTGGCTGTTTTCCCGTGCCTTGGCCCTTTAGTTCCCACGGCTGGTTGGTTTTTCTGTGCCGTGACCCTTTGTTTCGTGTGCTGGCTGCTTTGTTTCGTGGATGGCTGCTTGGTTCCGTGGATTGCTGCTTGGTTCCATGGGTTGCTGCTTGGTTCCGTGGATTGCTGCTTGGTTCCTGTGGCTTTTCTCCTCTGTTTTGCTGTACCGTTTGGGGGCTGATGTGTTATGGTTGTTGGTCTTTCATTTCCCTAAATCTGATAGATTTATTTAATGTTGTTTGGTGGCTGTTGGGTGGGGCTGCATCTTTGTTTTCTGTGCAGAATTCCTGCTGCAATTTTTGGAGACTTTTGGCCTTCTAGTTCCCATAATTTATTGGGTTAATAATTGTGTGAGGTGGTTGTTTGGTTGCCAGCTTTTCTCCTATAAATATAAGATGTTTGGGCAAAGAAAAAAGAGTTGTGATGATGATAATTTTTGGATAAAAACCTGAGAGGATTTTTTGGAAAAGCTTGAGAGTTTTGTCCACTTCTTCTTCTTCTCTATCTTGGGATAACTTGCGAGTTACTCCTATCCTTTGTCTTGGCTTCTAATCCCTTCTTCTACCCACAAGTATCCCTTCCACTTGTATCCTTCTTCTAAATGAAAGAAAAGCATCTTTAGGTTGTTTTCAGTTTGGTCTTGAAGGTTGTAAGTGTTTCTTTATGTTTGTATGTGTTCTTTTTATATGAAATGTAAGAGTTTGTTTGTGTATTTTCTTATCCCATGTATGTTTTTAAAGATTAGTAAGGTTTTGTTTTGGTAATAAAACATTAGGGGATCTTTCCTAATTTTTTATTACATCAAACCCTAAAGGAATTTGAACATGACGACGTATGGTTTAGGACTTTTTATGCAAATCAAGGATGAGAAGGACCAAAGCATGCACATAAACTCATATATGCAATTCTTGAACTTTAATTTCAACAAATGTTCGTGACATAAGATAAAAATTAGAAATATACAAAATTCATGCAAAGGATAATGTATTAGTTGTCTGATAAAAATAAAACATGGAAAATCAAGATTTTAATAAAATTATATGTTTTATATGAAACTTGCATCACAATTAGAAAAATCACAAAGCTGCTTAGAAATCATAATTAAATATAGAAGATTAATCGACGCTATTTTCAAAAGGATATGAATCATTGAAAGCCAGTAGATATTAATCATCATAGAAACGACGGTCCCAAGTCTTATCCAGTTGGATAGTGAGCGTAGAAGATAAATAAGATCGCAACCAGGCATTGTGTAAGACTGGTGATACAAGAAATAAATATTGTAAAACCAATGGATCAGCAAGGCTACATCTATAGGATTGCATAAGACCTATGAAAATATTTCATGTATGGATGTCTATTGGTGACAAAGGTTTAAGGAAAGCTTGTAGGCGTGGAAGGAATCACTAAAGCTTTATAACAGTGGAGGCGGAAGACATAGGAGATACTATAATCCTACATCAATCTCCCCATCTTAAAAAAAAAAAAGACTCAAAAAAATTGTTTCAGGTCATCAATATAAAAAACTCTCATAAATGGTAACATCACAACTTGCAATTGGATAACTGTATACTTTGAGATTTGCATTAATTTTGCCTTACTTTTAGCTCTAATGAATCATTTAGTTGATAAACATCGCCTATAGATTTATCTACCCAGTTTATAAGACATTTTAACATCCACCATTATGAACATGATTTTCTCTTCAATAATGCAGAAGAAATAAGATTAGCATAAAACATTGAGAATTATACAAATGATGTGTTGGATATGGAGTTTAAAAACAAGAGGCTAACGAGAGAAAAACTTAATAGCCCAAGCCAGTAACGACCAGCAAAGGTAGAAGTTGAGAGTTAGTCTCTTTCCCCAATCAAGTGCACACAGGAAAGTTTTGAAGGGGAGGAGGTGGGATAGTAACAAGTAGATTTATTATTAGCACACATATTTAGGAGATAATTTGTTGAATCCTAGATAATTATGAACCAAATCAAAGCTTATTTGAAAAATCAAATCCAGATTTGTTTAACCTAATAAATTTAGTTTGAAACCAAATTTCAAATTTCAGCAAAGAGAAAAAAATTTGAGGAAACTAATCTCCAAACTTAACAATTGGTTCATCAATGGGATATTCATCAATGGGAGAATCAGCAGCAAAGTCTCTCAAACCTTCAAGAAATTTTCAAAATTAAGGACCTACTCCATGTTTTGGAAAAATATTTGTATATTTGGTTTCATAGGTAGACATATATAAAAGTCAATAAGCCAGTTAGACACCACTTTTAAATGCAGCTCTTGTTTTAATCCTAACGTCATGGTTCTAGAAACCTGTCGTTACCCAGATCAAGTATTATCACAAAAACAAAAATTATTTGATATTTACTGAGAAAAAAATTTTAGGAAATAAATCTTACCAAAATTATTCAGATAAATAGTAAATATATGAATAATTCACGGAATACCTCAGAATGAAGTTTATCATTCACAATTTCCATACAAAACCAAAAAGGAAAAAAAAATGCTGTCACACTCAAGCCTCTGCAATCTGCAACAATCATTCTTAGGTTGTCATATGAAACTCACATTTTGGACCAAAACTAGGCATTAGCAACCATCTTTCAAATGACTGCATGTTTACTCCTAGAACCAGGAAATATGGTTTTCTTCTGATCTTCATGATACCTCCAACACAGTATAGAACAAATTAAAATAGCTCGCAATTTAGGTAATATTTCTGGTACATTAGTGTTTCAAGCAAATACAGAATGAATTAAAAATGCGTTTGGTAACATCTTGTAAGTTCAAAGATCTCTACTGCAATTGCTTAAAACAATAGCAGATCAGAGCTTGCAGTTTAAGCTGTTATCACAAGGACCTCATATACCAAACAATTAGAAGTACACCAAGCAATAAACTGTTCAAAACACTTTGAACCACAACACACTCCATATTTGATGAATTTGCATAATCATGCACATCCTAGACTCAAACCCTAATTATGCAATTATTGTAATTCATCCTCAAATCAGATCCAACTAGATTAGTATCAAAAAAAAAATCCTCAAATCAGATCCAGTTCAGTTATCATTTCAAGATTTCTTGCAACTAGCCCGTAGCAGACAAAATCATGTTTAAATTTTCTCCCTGATAGCAAGAATCCTGCAGATCTTTAGATTTTCAGATCATCCAGAAATAATCTATAACTAGATTAAATCATATACCATTACGCTTGTTGTTTGTCTATTCATGTGAGCTCAAGTCGTGAGAAAGCAATGAAATATTAGTTTTCATCAAAACTCAACTAATTGACTAGAGCAAATGAGCAATGAGCGGAAGTCAATATAGGCCAAATCTAACTGTGTAACTCGAGCTGCTTGATGATTTCTTTCCAAATTCAATGGTACAATTTAAATGCAATTTCAATTACAAGCACAAACCACATTGGACCTACTAAAATTATAATTCTTTTCAAGAGCTCTGATCGATAGGTAACAAGTTCAAATTTCACATAAACCCCCAATATCTTATGATACCTAACGCGGAGGGGTTGTTTGGTTCACCACGACGTACTAATCAATGTTATGCTATTACTTCATTCGTACTTGCATTATGGAATCACCCAAATGATATCTAAAAATCTAGCGACCCCATGAACAATATAAAAGGCAAAAGAACTAAATATCATAAATAATGGCATATTCTATTACTAGAACTCCAACCAAATCAATTTTTATGGTGTTTCAAATCTACTTATGATGTATTCTTAAAATCAATTATATGATTTGAATTCTAATTGTTAGAATTATATGTAACCTTCAAAATGCAAAGATGAAGATTTGAAGTTTGGGGACGTAAACAAATGCCTGGACAATTGGGATTATTCTTTTATAATTGACATATTAAAATAATAAAATGATCAAATAATATACAATATGTTAAATAGTAGCATAGAAAAAAGACAAATCTCCAAACAAAAATAGAATTAAACATCTAATAATCATGCAAAATTATTAAGATATGTGAGGATATTAGGTTTAATCTCACATTGGTTGATAAAACAAACATCGTGTAAAAGCACTAATTGTTTGGCCCTCTTCTATAGACCTAAACTTATAAATTGACAATGGATTTGATCACTAGCACATCAGGCCCAACTTTAGGACTCCTTTGATTCACACTTCGAATTGAAAAAAAAAAAAATCAGCTTATATTTCTAGAGTTTTCTGGAGAAACAGCAACAAAATTCAAATAATTCCAGCCATTAAATAATTCCAATCAGCCATATAGACACATGCAAGTATGCAACCCATTATTTTATCCCCAACATTTTTTTTTTACTAATCCAAAATATTCCAGGATAGCATCTCACTCATTATCAATTAAGAGTCCAATCAAAGGAAAAGAAACTACCTGAAAAGTATCCATCATCAAAGACTGATGAGGCGCACCCGCTAGTAGCCCAACAGCGCTCGGTGTGGCCGCGGCCTTAGCCTGCGATAGCCGCCACATGTACCATGATCCCACAGACCTATACGGCCTCCACCGTTCACACAACTGCTCCATCTGTGATGGACGCGGCGTCTCCCCTAACCCATACAAAAGCTGCACACCGCGCCGCACCGTGGCATCCCCCACCGGAAGAATATCAGGCCGATGCAGTGAGAAGATCATAAACATGTGCGCCGACCACGTCCCGATCCCTTCCACCATAGTCAGCAACGACAGCAGCGAACGATCGTCGAGCGACACGATCGCCGCGTCGGAGAGAACTCCAGTATGGAACTTGCGGGAAAGGTCGTGGAGATAGCTGGATTTTCGAGCCGAGATGCCGATCTGGCGGAGGTGTTCAGCGGAGAGTGCGAGAACTGCGGCGGGTGAGACGCCACCGTGGACTTCGCAGAGCTTGAGGAATCGCTCGTAGGTGGGAACGGCGGCTTTCGGTGCGAGTTGTTGGTGGATGATGCTGCGTGCTAGGGTTAGAAACGGGGGCTGAAACTGGTGGAGGCTAAGGGGTTCGAGCTCGTCGATGACTGCAGCGAGGTGAGGGTCGGCAGCGCGGAGGTGGCGAATAGCGGCGTCAAGTTCTCCTGGGGCAGAGAGGGGTCGAGGGAGGAGGAAGAAAGGGGGTGGGGGCAGGGGCAGAGGGGCAGTGGAGTCTGGGGACACCTTGCGGAGCTTTTTGGGGCGAGAGAGGGATTCGTCGCCGTCTAAGACGGAGATGGGGTTGGCGGAGACTGAGGCGACGGCGGTGCATGAGACAGAAGCTGAAGGGGATGGAGAGGGGAGGGTTGGGTCGGGCATGGGAGGCGGCGGCGGAGGCCAGATGCTGTCGGTCATGGGCTTGGGGTCCGGTAATGGGTGGGTTTGGGTAGCGAGACAATAAAGGATTTGGTGAATCGGTACATCGGAAAAAGTCTTCTTTTTTTTTAATCAATTGGTCTATAACTTTTCAAAATTTAAATATATAAACATATTTTAATATTTTGTTTTGTTCAATATATCATTAATCAATTTTTGTTTTCATTGCATAATTAATTATCCAACCACTTTATAGTAAGTTGGCATTGAACAATAGTTTGAATTTGAATCAACTATTCTTAATTATTTTTAATTATAATTTTGAGAATATTTGAATTTAAATCAAATATCTATTGGTTGAGAGCTCAGATGATAAGTTGTATTTGATTGTGTAATTTTTATTTGATTTCTATTTTAGAGCTATAAAGTACAAATAAATAAATGTGGTGCTTTTTTTTTTATTTATGCACACATAAAAATCAAGATGCATATTTTTTATGATTTATTTTATTTCAATTTTTTTGGTTTGCAAATATCCTATTAAGAAAAAAGATCAGCTTTGACATAAAAATAATTAACAATAATTAATAAGAAGAATTCATGAATAAAAATTAAATAATAAAAAGGACATAAAATTTTATATAAAGAGAAAAACTAGTACTTTAAAAAGAAATGGCACAATAAAGAGCTTTTCTTCGAACTTACAGATAACTAATGTTGCGTTCTGAAATATTTGTGATGATAGAGAAAAATAAAATTTAGCGTTCTAGCTTTGTACGAAGATCAAGCACACAAACATATAAAATAGTAGGGTGCATTATTTATAAGAAACACCAAAATTTTTATGTGAAAACTGTGATAACCCCAGTATCTAACTTGGAAGAATTATTCAGTCAATCATTTTAAATCAATCAACTAGAGTTATCTATGATCAGCAATCAGTGATAAACAGTACAACATATTCTATTATTTAAAAACATCAATGTTCACATTTACATTCATTCCCAAAAGTCATTTACAATACTCAGGATCTACACATAAATCACGTATTCATCTTATCGTGAGCACAAAAGAATAACTATAACAAAAAGGAACAAAACCTGAAGAATCCTGATCAATCTCACACTCCTGCTCCCATGCCCTGACCTGAAATCATTAATCACATATAATATACTTAAAAAGCCAATAGGTCACCAAATACCTATAACTGAAATTAAAGCATGGTACATAAGCAATATGTATGTCAAACAGTCAAATCATAGCAATCACTTTCACATGATCATTGAGTCAATGCATAAATATAAATTAGTGCATAAACAAGCCATAGAGCTCTTCTCTTCCTCCTCCTCCCATTCATGTAAAGAATGGGGGTCTATTTATAGTTTTTGTGAGTGACATTATCACTATGTATTAAGAAGATCCATGGTAGATTTCGAATGTTCTATCGGATGGCTCATAGTGATTCTCTTGATCATAGAGTGTTTATCAAGCATTTAAGTGCCTTAGTGATGTCAGAAATTGCTGCTCAATTCAGCTATAAACATATTATATTTGGATATCATTTGATCATCAAATTAATGTTTTGAAGCTTTCAAGAGTGTTTTAGTCTTTTGATTTGGGCTCATTTGGGCTTGAATTACACTGAATTTAATGTCATAGGCTTCATCTTCTCAAGATGTTCAATTTGTCTATAAGCATATTGAAATAGGAGTTTGGATGGCCCCAAATTTAATTTTAAAAGTTTTGAATTCAGATTTGCATCGAGATTCATACTAGATCAAGGCGATTTTTGGTGACGTATTAGTTGCCCTATATTTTTGGATGTCAAAGCTCGTGAAGTCCGAAAATATGTGCCTGAACTTTTTCGAGTTGCTTGTGACTGAATATTGCATGAATATTGGTGCAACCACCTCCTAGATATCAACATGGATCTCCCCTCAAACCTGGGAATTGAGTAAAATGTCATTGATCATAACATGAAATTTTTTTTAAGTTAGGACATGGTCAAGAACAAAAAATGTTGATAAATTTAGCTTCTAAACTTTAAAATTGCTTGATATTGATTGTTCAAACTCTGTTTGGCCCCGAAAGTATCAAAATTAAGTTTGAAACACTAAAAAAATGATTTTTGGAAACCCAAAAAAACATTCAAATTAGACCATTCGAGCTAGAAAGTGGCCCAGACAAGGCTTGGAAGTTGAACCGGCCAGTCGGCCAAACAAGGCCACCTATAAAAGCGCCTGGGTGCACTCTTTGCACGTAGATGGGGCACGTACAATGCCCCTTTTGTAATCTTTTTTTAGCTCCCATTGGGGGGGGGACAACGAATATGAGGTGACATTGTTGCGACATTATATGTATGTATAAAGAGAGAGAGAGAGAGAGAGAGAGAGAGAGAGAGAGAGAGAAATTGGTATTTTTTATCCTTTTAAAATTATAAAACAAATATTGAAATTTAAAAAAAAAATTATAAAAAATTATAGAAAGTCATTTCATCTTCCTTATTTCTTGCACCTATAAATACCCCCCTTAGGGGCGAGGAAAAAACACAATCTCTTATGTCGATCCATGTCCTCTTTTGGATTAAGTAGCTTGTAGATTGTCAGCGGCGATCAAAACTTGACTCTCTTGTGTCAGTCCTAGCTTTCCCACGGATTAATAGCTTAGAGAACATTGGTAGCGATCAAAGCAAACATTATTGACGATCAAAGCATGGTTCTCTTATACCAATCCAATGGATTGGCAGCTCGGAGAACATCAGTGACGATCAAAGCCTAGTTCTCTTGTGCCTTTCCAAGCTTTCCCCAAAATTTGAATAATGACTAGGCAATAGCAATACTTAGCAAGAGATCTGACATTAGCAATGCCCTGGAGAAGATTTGGTGATAATTAGTAGATAGGAGGAAGTTCAACAATGATTGGTGGTCAAGAAGAGAACCGACGACGACAACACTTAAGAGGAAACCCGATGATAATCAATGGAGGGGAGGAAGTCCAGAGATGGTTGATGCTTAGGAAGAGATACACCAATCATAAGTTGGTCCTTTGATGCAAAGATTTGGGCAATATGCCTATGGTGGTAGTCAAACGATGAAAGCTTAATGGAGCTAGTTAGGTGACATTTTGATATTGATAATCGGACGGTGAGCTAATGCGACGGTTGAGATGATGGGGGTAGATATTGGATATTTTGATGGAGGGGATCGAACTCTGTGTCAATTGCAACAGTTTAGTGGCACACTCATGGTGCCAATGGAAGCATGATGGGGATCCGATCTTTTCTTAAAAGAGTTAAGAGAGATGTGTTGAAGTGCTACGTGGAAGAGATCGATGGAATCCACCAGGAATGTTTGGCCTATCTAATGTTATTTGTTTGAATGTTGCTCGATAGCATTAACATATATGGATGAGTCAAGGAATCCACTAAGGATGTTTACCTATATAAGGTTATTTATTAGAGCATTGCTCAATGATATTAACCAGTATGAAAGATGTCAAATCGAAACCCCTTAGGATTGATTATACCTTTTATTAGGAGGTGGAAAACATCACGTGTATCTCAAATCGAAGATGAACATCGGTATGTCTTAAACAGTTACAGTCTTTTCAAGGTCAAGACTAAGACTTTGTTGATGAAGTAGAAGTCTAGTTGTGGACAATATAGAGCTTGAAATTTAATAAAAGCATCATTGAATTTTCTAGGAGCTTTGGGGGGAGTGCGCTCACCACTACACAGTTCCGCCCCCGCAGTTGAGGTTGCACCAAAGTTACCTCTTAGTCTAAATATGCTTCCACAAAATTGATGCAGCTATGATTGATGCTTGAAAAGTGATAAAAAAATGCCTAAGGTTACCCTAAAAACTTCTTTAAAACTTGATAATAAATCATGTCCAAGGGACTATCTTGCTTCAACCATGCCCAGGACATTGATATGAATAGCCTTTTGAGGTTATTGTAAAGGTTGATCCCTAGCCAAGAATCATTTCTCACATATGGCGCCAAATTGTCACGTTCTAGAATATTCACAGTGGTACATAAATATAAAGTTTAGCATCCAGCTTTGTATGAAGATCCATCACAAAAATAGGTAAAAGAGTAGGGGTGCATTGTTTATAGAGACACCAGAATTTTTACGTGAAACCCCCAAAAGAGGAAACGCATCATGGAGCCTTGCCCATGCAAATTGATTTCACTTGTGTTGGTGGTTGATTATAATATTTTGCCTTCTTAGAGGAGGGTATTGGCTCAATGTAATAAATATACATTATATATATCTCATTACAGAGTTGGAGAATGATATGATAGTTGTTCTCAAGAGAGTAATGTCTTGCTTGTTTGGTTGGTAGGGTCGTAGTTGGACGATTATGGTCAGAAGGTCCGTAATAGATAAATGACTAAGGTTAGAAGGATCGTAGTTGGGCGATAGTGGTCAGAGAAACAATGATGAGCAATAGAGGTTGGAATGACCATAGTCGGGTGATGGTGGTCAAAATGATTGTAGTCAGGCGACGGTGGTCAGATGGATCATAGTCGGCGAGAGATGGAGGTTGAAAAGATCGTAGTCTGGCGATGGTGGTTGGAATGACCGTAGTAAGGCGATGGTGGTCGAAGGGATCGTTGCCGAAGGGCAACAGTGGTTGGAAGAACCACAGTCGGGAGACAATGGTCGGAGAGACTAGAGTCAATGAGCGACGAACATTGGAAGAATCGTAGTCGAGCGACACTGGTTGGAGAAACCGTAGTCGGCGGGCGACAGAGGTGGAAAGGACTATAGTTAAGCAACGATGGTTAGAGAGATCATAGTTGACAAGCGACGAAGATAGGAAGGACCAATGTTGGTAACTATGATTAGAGGAAAGGCTCGTCAATGGCTACTACATGAAAGACTGACGACAATGGTCTTGAGGAGATTCAACAACAAAGGTCTAGTGGTGCAGATTCGTCGGTGGTTGTGTTGGGGTGGAGTGCTAGGATTCTTCAAGTGCAAGAGCTCTTCTCTTCTTTCTCATCCCTTTAATGTAAAGAATGGGGTCTATCTATATTTTTTTTGGAGTGAGATCCTCAATAAATATTGAGAAGATCCATAGTAGATTTGAAGTGTTCTATCAGACGGCTCATA